CACTCAGGTTTGGAGAGAGCCTCAGTAACATTCCTGGGTATAGACACAGAATCCAAGGAAGAAAAGAAAGCACGGTAGGAGGGTGATAAGGCAATATAGGAAAGATGGTGTGAAATGCAATGGGCTGTACACTTTCTCTTCTCTTTACGAAGTGCAATGGAAAGATCAAGGTTAGTGGGATTAGCTGCAACAATGGTGTTAGGTACAGGAACATTATCATTAGAAAACATAGCAGGCTCAAGAAGAATACCCGGAACTGTATCTATTGAATCCGGAGTTTCAGAAGGACTGATAGAGAGTGGTGTGGGTTGAGGATGTGTGGAGTCAACCATCGTCTGCCGGCGCTGATATTTCTGTGAGGCTGCCCGTAGTGGCTCAGGCAATGAAACTGATGGAGGTGCTGGTTGAACTGATGATGGAATTGATGGAGGCACAAAAGAAATAGGAAGAGGAACAGATTATAAGTCTCTTCCCTGAAACTCTCCCCCTAAGGAGAACCACTCGAGAAGAAGAAGGTGGATTCAAAAATGGTAACATCCATAGTCACAAATCTGCTCCTTGACACTAGGCCATAACAGCAATACCCCTTTTGGTTCTGAGCATACCCAAGAAAAACACATTTCTTGGCCTTAGGATCCAATTCCTTGCGATGGGGGCCAAGAATGTGAACAAAGGAAACTCAACCAAAAACCCTTAGAGGTATGTGAAATATCTCCCCATCTGGAAAAAGAAGGAACTGAAGCACACACCATAAGACTCCTTGCCACCTCCACAATGTGTTTGTTCTTCCTCTCAACTACTCCATTCTGTTGCGGTGTATATGCACAACTACTTTGATGAATTACACCATGTTCTAAGAAATACGTGGTTAGGTCCTTCTCAAAGTACTCTCTGGCATTATCTGATCTAAAGGCCTTAGTTCCAAGGTTTAAAATGTCGATGTCGATGAGAATGTCGCTTACCAAAATATAGGACATATGTCGGAAATGTCGAGGGAAAATATTGTAAAAATTAGAGACATTGTGGAARTATTATGAAATATGTGGAAATATGCAAAGATATTTTGTAAAATGATAAAAGAAGCATGAATACATATTTCTAGACTATTATCTTATTCCCAACCATTATATAAAGCTAAGAAACTAAGATCAATAACAAATTAGTAAATGACAATTTACTGATTTATTATGCATTTTGATGTTTTTACAAGGTTATTTGATATTTTCTTTTCTTATTTTTAATTCTGATTTATTATAAATTCTATTATATTTATTTCACACTAGTAAATAGAAATACATTTATTCTGATTTTTTAAATATTAAAGTTATAATACATTATGTTTTACTATAMATTTAATAAACTGATTCTCCTTTTTTGTAGTATTAAGATTATGATAAATTCTGATTTCTTATAAAACTTAATGAATTTATTATGATTTTTAGTACTAAATTTATAATAAATTATGATTTAGTATAAAATTTATTAGATTTATTCTGATTTTTTATATTAAATTTAGAATATGATTTATTATAAAATTTAACAAACATTTCTGATTTTAATAAATATTTAAAAAAATACTAACTAGTTAATATTTTATTACTTGAAAAATATTTTATGTTTTATGTTATAAAGTAATTAATTTATTCTTTTGTTTTTATATTTTGTTAATTCTTTTATTTAAATATTTTGTTTGAAATATTAAATAGAAATTATTAATGGGAATATTATTAATGTACATTAGTCGACATCTTGTCGAAATTAGTTGATATCCTATCGACATTAGTTGACATAATAGGAAAAACTGCATTTTTTTTTACCGAAATAATGTAATTTTTATATTACCATCCATTTTCATGTTGATGAGCCTCGACATCGACATATGTCGGGCAACATTAGCGACATTTGGCGTCATTTGAAACCATGCTTAGTTCTCACTCCAAATTGTGTGAGAACCATCTGGTGGAATTGTCTTACCAAGTTAGGAACCTCATCTTGTGATCTCATCAAATATATCCAAGAATATCGTGTATAATCATCCACAAACAAGAGAAAGTAACGGTATCCTCCCATGGAAGCGATATGATATGGCCCCYATACATCAGTGTGAACAATATTAAAAGCAAAAGTACTTCTTTTATTATTTGGTTTAAAAGACTGTCTACAATGCTTTCCTAACTAACAACTCTCACACTCCAAGGTAGATAATTGAACAGACTCAAACAACTTTGGGAAAAGAAATTTCAAAGAACTAAAAGAAAGATGTCCCAAGCGATTGTGCCAAAGCATAATCTGGTTCACTGACTCTGACCCGCTACTACTATTGCTGCTAACATGATGGCCCTGATGTCTCAGAATCTCAACCAGAAGGTAAGCTCCATTCACCTCACAACCACTCCCAATCATCTTTTTGACTCCAGATCCTGCAAAACACAATTACCAGGAAGAAAGGTCACGGAACAATTCAAATTTTTTGTCAAAGAACTAACAGAAAGTAGGTTGGTATGAAGTCTAGGGACATGTAAAACAAAAGATAAAGTTATATCATTGGTCACTCTAACTGTCCCCTTCCCGGCAATGGGAATATGTGAACCATCTACTAAAGAGACTCTGTCTCTACCAGAGCACAACTGATAGGAACTGAAAAGGATAGGGGCATTAGTCATGTGCTCAGTTGCTCTTGAGTCTATAATCCAGTGAGATCCCTCCTTACCTGAAGTGGATGCAAGATTTGCAGTTGCATATGAGCTACCTGTATGTGCAAAAGAAGTAGTGTAGTTGGCTCCTGTATTCTGCTGTCCATCTGGAAGGCCAGAGCTAGGTGAATCTTTTTTACTCATAAGTTGTCCAAACCTCTCCAATTCTGTTCTCATTGCTGCTACTGCAGTGGATTCCCAATCAGTTTGGGAAAGAGGGGCCGAAGAGTCTCCTGTAGTGGCCACATTTGCATTTCCCTTCTTGTTTCTTATCCGGGCAAGCATCAGATTTGGATGAAGCTTCCAACAAGTGTCCTTGGTATGCTTAGGCTTCTTACAATAATCACACACCAAGTCCTTCTTATCTTCCCTTCTAGTCTCACTACTCCCCCTGTCTCCATTCGGCTTAGGTTTGGTTGTACTAACCATAGCCGACTGGTCAATCCCAGGCTGTCTCAGCATTACATTCCTCCTACTCTCCTCTCCAGAGACAAAGGCATAGGCTTGAGAGAGTGTCACACCCTCCCTAGAAAGAATATGTTGCCTAGCAATGTCAAATTCAGGGTTCAGCCTTGCCAAGAACTCAAAAACCATATTCCTTTCTACCAGTCTGTGATAGGTTGTTGCATCATTTACATTTTCCCATACCACAGTTTCTAGGTGATCTATTTCTTGCCAAAGGATTTTTAGCATGGAGAAATACACAACAAGGGGTTTTTCTCCCTGTTTCATACTTATCACCTGATTCCTTAACTGATAGGCTCTGGCTTCATTTTGCTTCTGAGAGTAGGTTTTAGTCACTCCATCCCAAATCTCCTTGGCAGTATTAGCCCATAGGAATTTTTTTGCAATATGAGGTAACATAGAATTACACAACCTGGACATTACCATGTAATTCTCCTGCACCCATTGGGAAGAGTCTGTTTCAGGTTTCTTCTCCTCCCCAGTGATGTACCCTAATTTTCCATAGGCACCAATAGCCATCTTGACTAATTGTGTCCATTCTAAATAATTTGTGCCATCAACTTTTACTGTAGTAATGATTCCAAACAAAAAAATATCACTACTACCTCCAACACCCATTCCCACAGTACCGATGGATTTCACCTCGGTATTCCAACTCTCCATCTTTCTTCAAACAATTCAACAGTAAGAAAAAATAGATTGGAGACCTTCCAAAAACAATTTAATATCACACACACAGAAACCAACCCTTTTGGAAGAAGAAAACCTTATCCGGAGAGAAATCTCTCTCCTCCCCACACCTCCCAACAGAGAGAAGAGTGAATCGATCACTCCAGGAGGCTTAGAAAATTCTAGAAACTTAATCGCCCTCTTTAGAATATCAAAAGAAAATTAACAATACCTGGGCGCCCAAGATTAGATAAAAGACAAAAAGTCCCAACTTTTTTGGGACTCTTCCCCGTACTCCAGTTCTTCCTGATTTTGATGCCAAACAGTAGATCACCTTTCTGATGACTAGATCCCACCAAAAAATCCAAGAACTGGGCAATATATAGCAGATCGATCAGCCCTTTGTTACTTCATGCAGTCGACCGATCTAGGGCTGCATGAGAATACTTCAAGAACCCTAGCTGGTGCTTTGATACCAAGTATAAATCTGCTGAACTCAAAAAATATGAACAGAAAGTGGTTTCTTGAAGAGAGAAGGAAGAGAGGAGAAGAAGAGATATTGAAAGAAAAGAGAGCAAAAATCTGGCCTCCCCCTTCACTTATTATTTATACTAAAAATAATAGAGCAGTACAAAGACAACTATGCCCTTATAGGGCGGAAAAACATAAAACAGCATATATAAGACTCAAAAACATAATAAAATTTGGACTCACATAACTACTATGGTCCCCACCTCTTATCTAGCAACTAACATAAAACATCTACTCAGAAAAACAACATAAAACTGATTAATTTTCAACAAAGAAGAAGAAGAAGAAGAAAAGAAAATAAAAAAATGAAGACTAACAAATTGATAATTGATAGAGAATGTAGCCTTTGACAGAGTGAAATGTTAAAACGGGATTTGCTAGCTGATCCTACATAGTTGGGGCAAGTCTTTGTTGAGTTGAGATTGGATTTACTGTTCTCTACTCTATTAGTTGGTCAATGGCTTTGTTGAGTTCATAATATTGGTTTTGTTATTTTCTAATTAATTTGCTTTTCTTAACCATGGTACATTAAGTTTGGAACTTCATATTTTTTACTTGCTATTTCTGCTATGTTTATTTTTCTATATTCTTTCAATGTATCCACTAATCTGCAGATGCTGATTGTTGATCATTTACAATTAGTTGCAAGAATTGAAGCAGCGTGCTGCAGGAAACATGGATGAGCTCTTTCTTACCCCTGGCATATCTGAGAAGCAGCCATTGCATGTAATTATGGTAATAAATAAAACATAAGTACAACTTTGGTTCTCTTGTTTTTGCAGTGAAGTTGGCTCATGCTGGCTCTTATTATTAATACAATCACAAAAAAAGGGGATGATTGGTTAATTTGCAACTCATATATCTAAGGTTTATCTAGGATAGGTGGTCTGTTTAGGTGCATGGAAGGCAGTATCTTAGCAATAATTTCAGACCCTAGAAGGCAACAAAGTAAAATTGAACTTTGGTGGGAGCTCCTTGGGTAACCTGGGTGTGGCAGGCATAGGTGGTGTAATAAAAAACTCTGAGAGCAGGATTTGGCCTTATATTCAGGGCCACTTGGTATTGCTAATTCTCTGAAGGCTGAATTGTTGGCATTGCTGCAAGGACTACGCTTAACAAAGCCATTGGGCTTTAGACAGTTGGAGGTGGAAGGGGACTCAAAAGTAATTATCTCATGGGCAAGTTGTAATAGACATACCCCATGGACTCTCAAACATGTTTTCAGGGAGGTGGAAATGATTGTGAAGGATTTAAATGCTGAATTCAAGTGGGTGAGGAGTGCAAATGGGTTAGCTGATTCCCTTGCTAAACAAGGGACTACAAGACAGCAACTATACTGGGCTTCATTGTAAACTACCCTTGGTTATTTTGGGGATGACATTTCTGGTCATCAAGTTGTACTATTCACATATACAATTAATTTAATAAAATTAACTTTTTGCTCATAAAAGAAATTCAGGTTCCTATTGAAGTGGATAATTCCATGAAGGTAGAAGTTTTTTTTGAGAAAAGGGTAATGTATTAGAGAAGCAAAAGATTTACAAATCCTGCTCAAAAAGAAATTGAAGCAGGGAAGAGAAAAGCAAAAGCTGATTACATGTCCGAACTAGATACAAAAGGATTTCTATGATAAAAAAAAGAACTAAAAGGAACATCTTTTAGCTGTCTATGCATTGCAGACCAAGAATAGATTCTTCCCCATATGCTTTTTAGGATTGTATCCCCCGAATTGCACTTGTTTTCAAAGATTCTCCTGTTTCTTTCCATCCAAATAGACCAAACTACTGCTTCTGGGACCACTTCCCATAAAACTTTCCCTCTCTTGGACAGACCCTCAAGTTGCCAGCACTCCAACAAAGAAATCAAATCTTTAATTCAACTTCAAACAGCCCCAAGGCTTTTCCCCAAATCCAACTGGCAAGTTTACAATGAATGAATAGATGTTCTGCATTTTCTGAAGCAGCCCCACATAAAGCCCCCCAGCCTTTCTTGCATGTCTAGACACTTTTCCACCACGATATTGATCACCTTTTCATTTTCCATATTTGAAATTTGAATCACATTGCTTTTCTGCCCCCTGATGTCAGAACTATTCAGGTTGTTCTCAGATGATCGACGATCCGTAGCGCAGGTTTTTCTGCCCAGATTTGCAGCTTCTACCCCCGCCTCTCTCCCACTTGCCACGTGGCCATCTGCTCTTTTCTGCGTCCCCATCACTCTTTTGTCTTCTCTAGAGATTGCTACAGATGCCGGTGCCAGGACTGCAGCTTTCTCAACCAAGGAGGGGTTCGTCGTTACCACCTCATTGCCCTTGATTCGCTTTTTTACTTCTGCCGAAATGCTTTCCCTTGCTAAAAATTTGTGAATCCAACAATCCTCCGCCTCTATCGCTTCCCCAAAATCCGCAGCCAGAGCCACTATCTTTGGAGGGATTTCAGGCCAATTTGTTATCACAAAAACCTTTTCCCCATTGACCACATTTACTGCTGATGGTGGGAAGCCTTTCCAGGATGCTTTCACCTTAATCCATCCCGTCGTTTCTTTCGCTTCTACTAAGTTGTCTACTTCCAGGTAACCTCCGCATAAATTCCCGGTTTTCTTCACCAATCCCTCACTCCACAAGTGAAGTGGCAGGACAAAGATTCTGAACCAGAAAGAGTCGGGGAAACCAGACTACCTCTGCCAACAACCTTCCGATTTCTCCTAAGGAAACAAGTGAAGCAACGCTCCTCCCACATTTGTAGCACCCAACCTTAGCACTCTTCTTGCTTCCTCCGGTGGCGGCAAAATAAAAATGAACTTAATTTTGGCCATTCGCCTCACCGTTACCCCTAGAGACACATTCCAATAATTAACAGCCCAACGTTTTAAATCCTCCACTGAGAAATTTGTCTCCACTACACCTACGGTGCAAGCCTCCAGAAACTTCATTCTTCAGATTCTTCTTCTCCGTATTCCGAGTCAACTTTCAGGTTCACTTTCCCCTCCTTTGACCAAGATAGGAGCTGTGCCTTCTCACCATAAGAGGACCTCCCTTCTTCTGCCTAAGAGTACTTGCGAGAGTTCTCCAGCCTCCAACTGCACCTGTCTCTCCTTTTTACCAGCCAGGCAACAGTCCTGAAACTCCCTCCCCCATCTACGAGCCTTTCCCTTCCCTAAGCAACCCTTCTTCCCAAACTAAATCTCTTGTACATTGTCGAAGGCTTCCTCAGAGAGGTCACCTTCTGCTGTCAATGGTTGTAAAATTTGCCGGCCATGACAAATCAGCAGTTAGCTCACATAAAATCCATGAAGGTAGAATTGATGGTTATGGTGCAAAGATGAAGATTAAGGAAATCCTTACATTACAGAAATATAGTGGTGGAAGGTGACTCTAAAGTAGTGGTGTGATGGAAGAACCAATACAGTTAGGCCCTTGGGTATATAGGAGATAAAAATTTTGAGAGAGAAGATGAATGTAATTTTCACATGGATACATAGGTCAGAAAATGGTTTGGCTTACAGGTTGGCAAGACAAGGAGAAAATAGAGAGGCTCTATATTGGGGCATGAATATTTTGTTCTATTTCTCATTCTGCAGAGATGATGCTGCTGGGCTTTATATCACCCCTTGCAGCTACCTCATCAATGATATCAAATATTTGCATCAATTCAAAGTTCTTTGACTACAACACATATTGAGATGATTTGGAGGAAAAGATTTGCGGTGGAGAAGAAGAGATTTCTGGTTGAGGAATCTAAGGAGGGAGAAGTTTTGATGTTTGAAAGGAAGGGAGGGCCATGATTTTCATGTCTGAGGCTGTTGCAGGTTTGATTAAAGGATTTGTTGAGGGAGCAATCCATACAGAGACCAGACCTGGCTGGAGGAGTGAGTTGAGTAAGGAACGGAAGTTCTTCTCAATTGAGAAAAAAGTTAATGACAAAGGACGTTTTATGAGGATAGATGAAAAGATGGAAGATGGCAGGAGACAAATTATCTGTTTGCCAGAAGGAAGAAATAGACAGGGATGGGTTGCAGTTGCTGAGGTGCTGCAGGAGTACGAGGAAAGGTGCTGGCTGAAAAAAGAAAAGTTAAAAGGTTTGGGGGTGGAGAAGAAGTTTCAGGAGTCAGAGGAACGTAAGGGGATTCAGGAGGTGACGATTGAAGGAGCAGACGGTGTCCCAAAGTTTGCTATGGGAGGAGGTAAGGAAGATTGGAGCAAAATGATGACAGTGACAGCAAAGAAGGTTAGAGATTGGAAGAGGATTCTTAATGATGTCATGATTAGAATTCCAAATGTGGATTTGGCTGTGATTATTCCTTTCGATGATAGTAAAGCAGTTCTGAATATTGGAAATTCAAAGGCAGAGCTCATGACTGTTGAAACTTCATAAGGTTCGGTGACGGTGGCGAACTGGACACCTTCTTGCAATGAAATTTCAATACCTGGAGGAAGCGTGATCTTGAAGATTTTTGGTCTTCCTTTTAACTTGTGGATATATGAAGTCTTCAATAAGCTAGCAGGTGCATGTGGTGGAGTAATGAAAGATGTTTGCACTGTTGACCTTCATGCAGTGAAGATTATAGTTGCAGGCGCTAAACCTGAGAGGATTCCCCACACGACTGACTTCTTCGCTGAAGGGAGATGGTGGAAACTCTGGGTGGCATCAGAAGCTGAAATGTCCCTGTGGTATGGAAGGCGAGAGGTTGAAGATGAGGCAGGTAGGGTTTGGTGGAGTACACGTGGCACAAACAGACTGGAAGGTTTGAGGGGGAAGGGAGAGAATGAAGAGATGCTATGTGCTGGAAGATCGAGACTTATTGAATACTCTGGTGCTTTTTCAAAAAAGGCCTGCTGTAATTCTGTAATGCTGATTTAAAGAAGGGAGAAGAGGAAGACAAACAGGTGTTTCGAGAGAGATGAACAATGACAGCGAGCTGGGCCGGGTTTTAGTGGAACAACACGTGATCTTATTAAGGAGCATGCAGACTTAAAAAAGGGGACGAGCTGGGCTGGAAACAGGTGGACTTAAAGCAGAAATTTAATAGTGGGACCAGAAGGGGTAAACTTAGCTTGGAGTTGAAGAGTAGGCCCAGCTACGATGGAGGTTTGGCCCAAGAGTATGTTGGGGGTGAGCAGTTTAAAGAGGTGATAGAAAAAGTGGTGACAGAAAGGCCGATTATGATGCCAAAGGATTTGTTTGAAGAACAGCAGTGTTCTTCCCTAAAAATAAGGTTGCAACGATGGTACAGGAGGATGAAGGGGATGGAAAAAGAAGAGCGGAAGAGAAGGGGGAGATTCAGGTGGACTGTGAAGACAATCATATGCATCAAGAGGAAGGGGAGGATGACGAAGACATATTGCCCGTCACTGATGTTGAGGGAGGAGTTCAGGAAAGAGTTGAAAAGGATGACTGGGGAGAGAAAAAGATGGTAGTTAAAAAAGAGAATGGCAGAAAGACGATTAAGGTTTTACTGAAGAGGGATGAAAATAGAGCAGAAGATGAGGGGAAAATCAATCAAGGAGGTGAGGTGATTGGGTCTATAGTAGTTGTTGGAATGTTAGCTTTATTTATTATGTTTTTATTCTGCTGAGTTAGGGTCCGTTTGGACAAATTAAAGCAGTTTTTTCTTTTGTTTTTTATGCTGTAACTTAAGTAGGGGCACAAGGGTCCTTTCCCTTCTACTTATGGTTGCCCTATATATATTAATATAAGCTGGCGCCGCCAGCACTGTAGCAGACTCCAAATCTCTCT